TATCATGTTTGGTAAGGTGGAAGGTCAAGAGAAAAAGAGGAAGACCCCAGCGATATATATTGGCCAAGTGGCATCATCAATGGGCTCAAGCATGGCAACAACTGTGAGGTTGGTCCAGGACTGGGCAGGGTTTCATTCTGTTGTGCATAGGGTCACTATGAATAGGTACTGACTCGATGGCACCTAACAACAACATTAAGTATTCACTTGTTCTGTTCAAATGACTGCCTCTTGTTCTATATACAGGTTCCTCATGAGCACAATGAAATGTTCTGGAATACTCATTCTTCGCAATGTTATCCATAGTTTGTTATGATCTAGCTTGTGGGTTTGAACGGTCAAGCTTGCAGTTAGCAGTCCAGCACTTAACCTACAGTGCCACCAGGGCTCCTTTTGTTGTTCTACAGAGTAGAACTGCCCCCATAGGGTATTCTAAACTGTAGGAGCTTTGCTGCAGATAGAGGCAGATCACCAGGACTTTCTTCCTTGAAGCCCCTGAGTGGGTGCCCTTCAGCAGATCCCAACTTAAAGTGACCCCCATGTGACAGAGTAGAACTCCCCATATAGGCTATATCTTTATAAAAGCAGATCAATAGATCTTTCTCCCACTGAGCTTCTGGGTGACCTCCAATAGATAACCTTTCTGTTAGCAGCTGAGACCAGGGCTCCTTGTACCTGCAATAAACCTAAAACCAAACCTGATGCCAGATTTATTCAGACTCACAGCAACCCTTATAGGATAGAAAAGCACTGCTTCATAGGGTTTCTGTGAAATCTTTACAAAACCAGACTGACACGCCTTTCTTCCACTGAGCGGCTGGTTTGTTCAAACCAATGAACAGTAATACCACACATTTATTGAGCCCTAAAGGAGCTCATTTATTGAGGGAATAGTCATTGGAGAAGGATAGCATGCTTGGTAAGACGGAGGGTCAGAGAAAAAGAGGAGGACCCCCAACGAGATGGATTGGCCAGGTGACAGCATCGACGGACTCAGGTGTGGTAATAGTAGTGAGGTTGGCCCAGGATCGGACATTGTTTCGTTCTGCTGTGCATAGGGTCGCTATGAGTCGGTGCCGACTCGATGGCACCTAACAACAACAAAGCAGCTCTGGTAGCGTAGTTGTTACAAATCAGGCTGCGAACCTTAAGGTCAGCAGTTTGAAACTACCAGAAGCTCTGCGGGAGAGCACTTAACCACAGTGCCGCCAGGGTTCCTTTCTAACCTGCCATAATGTATGAAAAATACCTAGCACAATGCTTGGCACAGGACTGTTGTTCTTAAGTGCTGTCAAGTCGATTCTGACTCATAGGTACCCTTGATAGTGTTTCTGAGGCTATAAATCTTTGTAGGAGCAGAAGTCTTGCTTTTCTCCCACAGAGCAGTTGGTGGACTCGAACCACCAACCTTGTGATTCGAAGTCCAGTACTTATCCTACAGGTCACCACATTCCCTGACACAGGACTAGGGGTGGTGGTTATGTACCGTGGAGTCGGTTCCGACTCATAGTGACCCTGCACAGGGTTTCCGAGGCTGTAAATCTTTACGGGAGCAGAACGCCTCATCTTTCTCCCGCGGAACAGCTGGTAGTTTCAAACTGCTAACCTTGCAGTTCACAGCCCGATTCGTAACCACTACACTACCAGAGCTCCTTTGTTGTTGTTGTTAAGTGCCATTGAGTCGGGTCCGACCCATAGCGACCCTGTACAGGGTTTCCGAGGGTGTAAATCTTTACGGGAGTAGAAAGCCTCATCTTTCTCCCGCGGAGCAGCTGGTAGTTTCGAACCGCTGACTTAAGGTTCGCAGCCCGATTCGTAACCACTACGCTACCAGAGCTCCTTTAGGGCTCAATAAATGTGAGGTATTACTGTTATGATCATCTAATTTGCATACCCCAGAGAAAACCAGCTACAGTATGGAGAAAGAGTGGGGAGTAGGAGAGGCAGAAGCCAGCTATCAGCTTGCAATAACAACAATAATAAACAAAAGTAAAAATAGGAAATAGTGTAGTTACAGAACTTCCAAATTAAAAGGAAAGTAGATTTCAAGAAAATAAGTAAATAAATAAAAATAAACTTAACCCTAAAACCTAGACCAGGTCCTACTCCTAGCCCTGGCCCAACCCCTAACCCTAAACCTAACAATACCCTTGTTGTTGCTGTTAAGTGCCGTCAAGTCGGTTCTGACCCATAGTGTCCCTGCATATGGTTTCTGAGGAGCAGCTGATGAGCTTTAACTGCTGACCTTGTGATTCAAACTGACTTTGCAATCCAGCACATTAACCCACAGTGTCATAGTCCTAACCCTAACTCCTTACTCCTCCCAGCTGTCTCCTCCAAAATAAAAGAACTCAAAACAATACAAGACAAAAAGCTTATTACAACTGTAAAAAACAAACGTCAAGGGCTTGTGCCAAAGACAGTGGCGGCGAAGACAGAGGAAGTAAGAGAAACCAGAAACTTCATCAAGAAAATAGGAGCTGTCCTATTAATTAGGATCAGTCACAATATGGCAACACTAACATCTAGGACACATTAACATAACTAACATTCATGATAGTACTCTTGAGTCATCAAAGGTTTATGTTAATTTCAGAACTTGATTTACTAAGTTGGGAAAATGGGTAATATGTCAATCTTTCTTCTTTCAGTAAATTGACCTTATAAATTAAAACAGCAGGTCAGACAACTTCATATGGGAGAACCAAAAAATAATTCAAGATTCCCATCGAGTTCAAAGAACTGTTAAAATATGGAAAGATAACTACATACAAAGCTAAGTAAAAGACTTGCTACTTCCCTACTTGGTATAGATCCAAGGGAAATAAGGATCACAGCACAAATAAATGTATGTACACCCATGTTCATAGCAGTACTATCTGCAATAGTAAAATTTATGGAAACAACCTAAATGACTACCACTGGACGAATGAATAATCAAACTTAGGTACATACACACAACAGACTGCTAAGGTTGAAGAATAACAATGAATCTGTAAAATACCTCATAACACGGATGAACTTAGAGGACACTGTGCTGGATGAAATTAGTTGATCACCAAAAGACAAATATTGTATGAGACCACAAAAAGCACTCGACTACAAAGTCAGTTTGAACCGCTAGGTTCAAATCCACCAGCCACTCCAGAAACCCTATACAAGGTTGCTATGAGTTGGAATAGACTCTATGGCACTTAACAACAACAACTATTGTAAAAGTCAAGAAAAGGTATATTCTTTGATGGCTACCAGGGGTAAGAGGGCAGTAGGAGTAATTTGCTGTTTAGAGGGTCTGTTGTTGTTAAGTGCCATCCAGTCGGTTCTGACTCAGCAACCCTGTAGTTACTCATAATTACCAAGGAGCAGCTGGTGGGTTTGAAATGGTGAATTTAAACTGCTCACCTTGAAGTTAGCAGACACTTGCTAACTTGGGTGAAGGAGAAGGCAATATATGATAAGCGAGAAGATGGCAAAAAAAAATGATGGAGGCAATGGGAGATACAGGAAGGAGTGCAAGAGTTAAAGGCAACACAAACCAACATGGTTATATACAGAATCCTACAACAACGGTGATCTGTGGGTAGATGCATGGATAGACAAGAAGACTAAACAGGGGTGGGAAGAATGGGAACATTCTCACAAATATATGTAAGGTTTAACAGAGGATTTTGTACACGGGTATTTATCTTTGCTGCAAATATATCCATGAATGTGGTGGAATATACATGGGGTGGTGGTGGTGGTTATGTGCCGTGGAGTTGGATCCAACTCATAGCGACCCTGTACAGGGTTTCCGAGGCTATAAACTTCTTAGACATAACCAAACATTTTGAAGGGAAAAATTGCTGGATCTGGGAGCTCAGGATCATGGTTTCAGGGGACAACATGGTCAACTGGTACAATATAGTGCACAATGTTTTACATCAGGGGTTGGGAACCTTTTTTCTGTCAAAATGTATATTATCAGTTGTGGGCCACACAAAATTATCAACTTAAAAATTAGACTGCTATATTAGGTTAAACATTTAATTAACTCACCCCTAATGTGATGGTTACGAATCGGGCTGTGAACCGCAAGGTCAGCAGTTCGAAACTACCAGCGGTTCTGCGGGAGAAAGATGAGGCGTTCTGCTCCCGTAAAGATTTACAGCCTCGGAAACCCTGTGCAGGGTCGCTATGAGTCGGAACCGACTCCACGGCACTCAACAACAACAAATGTGATGGCTGGGACTGCAGTTGCCTTGGCAAGGCAAGGCCAAATGATTTTGTGGGCTTTATATGGCCTGCAGGCCAGACGTTCCCCACCTCTGTTCTAGATCCTACTTTGGTGAATAGAGAGTGGGATGTTAAAAGCTTGTGAGTGGCCATCTAAGGTACAACTATGGGTCTTGCCCTGCCCAGAGGAAAGAAGAGTGAGAAAATTAAAAGTGCATGGAAACACTTTAGACTAACAGACTACAAAAACAAACAATAGACTAACAGACTACAAGAACATCAATCGCCACAGTCCTGAGACCAGAAGCACTAGCTGGTGTCCGGCGATCACTACCAACTGCTCTGAAAGGAATCACATTAGAGATCCTTGGATAAAGTGGGAGAAAAATGTAGAACAGGGCTCAGGTTTATGAAAAGGACCAGACTTACTAGTCAGACAGAGACTGGTGGAGTCCCGAGAATATGACCCTTGGTCACCCTTTGGATCTGGAGCTGAACTACCCCAATGGCACAATTTCCAACAGCACTGGTGAGGTGCACATATCATAGAATGGTTGACCATTTGAGATCAAGGTGGCAGCATTTGTTCATGGACAAAGTTCAGAGAGCTGGCAAAGAAGGAGGAACAGAAACAGAGAGAAAGTGCGAAGAGTGATGTTGCATTGATGGAATTGTAGTCAATGAGATGAAGCGAAGTTTGAATGTAAAACTAATGACGTGCTCTGCAAACCCTCACCCAACACAGAATAAAAGCTTAAAAAAAAAAAAAAAGTATTGCTATTCATGTTCCCATACATGCATGGGTTTATTCCAAAGTGTGTTTACACATGTCTCTGCAATCAGTAGATGGCTGCAAACAAGTTCTCTCAATAACAGTCTCCTTTAGGGTGCCTTAAAAAATAAGGGCAAATCAAACAGTAGCTTCTGAGGGTATCTGCTGGGTCAGTTAAATTAAAGGTAGAGGTTATAGCAACTATTTTTGAGGATTCAAAACGGGTCATCTTGATAGATTTTTGTCCTCAAAGGACAGAGGACAATCACAGAGGTTATTATGAAGTTTTAAGAAAATGGAAAGGTACATCGGTGAGAAAAAGACGAGAAAGCTGCACAAGGAATTTTTTTCCATCGAGACAATGCTCTTGCTTATTCATCAAGGATAACAAGGGTTGTCCTAGGAGGCTTTCATTCAGAAACCTTACTCCATTCACCCTTGAGCACTGATCTAGCCCTTTCAAACTTCTTTTTGTTCCCCAAACTCAAAGAACACTTAAAAGATACACGATTTGAGTCCTTTGAGGATGCCAAAAGTGCTGTTTTGATGTGGTATGAATCGAAGAACATTGAATTTATCATGGAAATGGTAGAGAGATGGCAATACTGCTTTCAGAAATGTACAGACATAGATGGAGGTAGTATCAAGAAACAATCGTTCCACATTTTGATATTTTTGTTTAATAAAATGATCTATGATTTTGCAGCAATACTTTTTCACTTAATCTTGTACTCTGGTGGTGGTGGTGTGCTGTGGAGTCAGTTCCGACTCATAACGACCCTGCATAGGGTTTTCTAGGCTATAAATCTTTACGGGAGCAGAAAGCCTCATCTTTCTCCTGCGGAACAGCTGGTAGTTTCGAACTGCTGACCTTGAGGTTAGCAGCCCGACTCATAACCACTACACTACCAGAGCTCCTTTAAAATCATTAAACTTAAAGATCTTTGGAATATTAAGAAAAGACAAGTATTTAAGTGAATAGAAAGGGAACAGGTAATAAGCATAATTTGAATTAAAGGTTGTGGGCTATAAGACCATCTCTTTTAAGCGAATGTTCATTAACCTTGAATATGAAGTCTCTGAGTGGAGCAAATTGTTAAGCACTCAACTAGCAAAAAAGAGTGGGCAGTTCAAACCCACCCAGAAGTATCTCAGAAGACAAGCTTGGCTGGCAATCTGCTTCCAAAAGGTCCCTGGTCATTAGTGAAGAGCTCTTGGTTCACGGGGCAAGACACCAATACAACTTGGGGCATGGAGACCAAAACCAAACCCAACCCACTGCTGGCAAGCTGATTGAGACTCATAACAAACCTATGTTGTTGTTAAGTGCTGTCCAGTCTGTTTCGCTGCATAGCAACCCTGTATAGGGTTTCCGAGGAGTGGGTGGTGGGCTTGAACCTCTGACCCTGTGACTTACAGTGCAGTGCTTATCCTACAGCGCCACACCAAAACTCCAAGGCTATAAAACTTTACAGAAGCACAGTGCCACATCTTCTTCCTTCCCAAGTTGAAGCGCAACCAAGCACTTTATCCACTGTGCCACCAGGGCTCCTTCATGGGTTAAGTGAAACCTAAACGTACTTCCATCAAGTCCATTTAGACTCATAGTGATCTTATGTAAAGGAGAACTGCCCCATAGGGTTCACTTTGCTGTGTTATCTTCATTGAAGCCAAGTGCCTCATCTGTCTCCCTAGCAGGTGCTGGTGGTTTGGAGCCGCTGGTGGGTTCGAACTGCCAATCATTTGGTTAGCAGCCCAACACTTAACCCACTGCACCATTTGAGCTCCTTCAAGGGGGGCAGGGCTTTTAAAAAAAATGGAGGAGGAGGTTAGGGCTTGAATCCTCAGTTTAATAGTTTGGGCTCTATTCTGATACAGATCTGTCAAGGACTTTGAGCCAACTAGCTCGTTCTTCCAGACTAGTTCTGTTTGAGGTGTTATTCGGTGGAATGTGGAGGAGGACCAGGGCACAAGGCACACTGGAAGGCTGCCTTCTTGTTCACCCCTGACCTAGAGGGAGAAACGATGTTTCTTCATCTGGAAAATGAACTAGCCATCACTTTAACTGGGTGATTGCTTTATGTGAAATGAAGTGAAATAATTCAAAAACATGAAAGCACTCCATTTACTATATAAAGTAATGCAAATATAAAGGTTTGTTAAGAATAAAGGCATTGTTAAGAATAAATAGCTAAAAGTCTAACAAGTGTGATTCCACTGCTTCCACATACATCTTGGAAAAGATGTGAGTCTGGCTATTGGTACAATCAACAGTTCGTAAGCCCATTCGTGGGAGAAAAGGGACAACCGCTAATTTACCAAAGGAGTGTAAGACGTGCACCCATGGTTCCGTCATACATACATCAATGTCGCACATCATTTGCTAGGTGTAGCAAGTCTGCCTTCGGTTCTACGCCCAGATCTGTCGCATCGTGATATAAAACCAATGGCTGGCTACCATCCTCCGGGGAAGGCGCCCGGGACAGCGCGGGGAGAAGCCGCAGATCCCAGCCCCACCCGCCCGCCTCAGTGCCCGTCATTCATTAACGCAGCCCGTGCCCCGCCGGTCGCCGACCCTGCGAGAGTCCCCAGCGCCCGACGGCTCCAGACACGCCCAGCACCGGCTCAGCCCTGGCTTCCCGCCGCCGCCGCCAGGAGGCTCCGCGCGCCTTCCCGCCTTTCCCCGCGCGGCGGCCAGGCTGGGCGGCGAGGCGGGCGTTGCGCTCAGCAGAGGCGGCCGGGCGCGGACGGCGACGGCGCGGCCATTGTCCCGCAGCCCCTCCCGGGCGCGCTGGAGGAGCCGGCCCGGCGGGCGGGAAGGCGCGACTCAGGGGGATACCTGAATCCCCCGGCGCCGGCCGCCACCCCGAGGCCATGCCCGCCGCCCCAGTTCTCCGCGCCTCCTTTGTGGCCACCTCCAGCCCTTCGGAGCCGGCACGCCGCCGCCGCTGTGCCCGGGGCTGCAAATGGCGCCCGCTCGCCTCTGCACCGCCCGCCGCTCTCCCGGGCCCGGGAACGTCTCGGGGCAGCGCGCCCAGGTCCCGCATCCCGCCGCCTTTGCCTCTGCCGCCCCGGCAGTTGGAGCCCGCGGAGCCGGCGGCGCGTCCGCCCGCAAAGCGGCTCTCGGGTCGGTCCCCGGCAGCCCCGACGCCCCGCCTGCCCTCAGTCCGCCCCTCGCGCTGCCACTTACCGCGGGGCTGCGGCGCACCGGCGGGTCGTACGCGCGGGGTAGGAAAGGATTCCAGGTTCTTCGTGGGGGTATTACCCCCTTAGGAAGCCGTTCTTTTGCGCCCTAAAACAAGTAGCCCCAACGTAAGAGAAACAAAAGGTATTTGCTGACGTGGGCGTTGGACAGAAACGCCCGAGGGCTGGGGACACAATTAAAGGGGCAACGCACAGATTTCAGGCACCAACCAGCGGCTTCGCCCACTCCCCTTGCTCTTGCCTACACCCCGATGCACCCTCCAGAAGCACTAGAGTGCCCAAATTCTCTAGCAGTTGACTGCGGAATCATTATTTAGTCAGGAGCTTAAATTTTAAATTGTACTTTAGGTTGGGAAAGGCGCCTCCGGAGGGCAGAAAGGCGTGATTTCTAGGATCTGGGGAATTTGGTTTAGGAAAAAGGGAGGGACTTAGGCGTGCCCTCAATTACTGTGTAAGTGCATGTGACATTATTGTACTTAAGTTTAGCAACATCAAATGTAAGAGGTTTCCGCATTATTGAAGCAGTTATTTTAGTTGGGGATAACGTTTTATAAACCTCCATAGGTCACAAGCATTTTATATGAAGAAAAACCCAGAGATGCTGAAATAAGAGAACATCATTCTTACCTATGTTCAGAAGAAATTTTAAAATAACATATTTTAGTGTTTTCAAATATAAAAATTTGTTGTACAACAAGCCTGACATTTCTGTGTCTAATATTTAAGGGCACAAACATCAAGATACACATTAGCAAAAATAGTAAATCACTGAATTTTCACTGTTATCACAGAAGCATGAATTCTATAGACTAAATTACTTTTCTAGTTTCTTATGTTGGGGGTCACTTTTTGAAAAGTACTACATTGTACAGTAAAACTGAAAAAAGACTCAATTAAAAAAAAAATTACACAACTTTTGAGCGGACTCCTTTTCTATACCCTGACCAGTCATGTGGGGCAACGTTTATTACTTTGGTTTCATCAAATTATTCATCTCTTAGTATCAGAGGTGCCTGCTATTTACTTGTATTTCAGATTCTGCACAGGTAAATTTTGTTTATCAAACAGCAAAACGTATTTGAAGACCATCCAGTATCAGGAGTGTTGAATGTACTCAAGCTACTTTGTAGCACCCCCATTGAGAATTCTTTCAGAAAAACCAGAACATCATTGCAGCAGAAGGTTTTCACTATAGTTCATTATAGTTAATTAAATAATTCACTATAGTTAATTAAAACATGCAAAAGAGTTCTATGAACATGTTCCTGGAGAGAACAAACACATCAGGTTGATGATAAGCTTGGCCTCAAGAAAGAAATTGTTGTTGTTGTTGTTGAGTGCCATCGAGTCGGGTCCGACCCATAGCGACCCTGTACAGGGTTTCCGAGGGTGTAAATCTTTACGGGAGTAGAAAGCCTCATCTTTCTCCCGCGGAGCGGCTGGTAGTTTCGAACCGCTGACCTTAAGGTTCGCAGCCCGATTCGTAACCACTACGCTACCAGAGCTCCTTCAAGAAAGAAGTAATAGGAGTTTATTATTGTAATTCTTATGGGAGAATTGAACATGAATAGCTGTGCAGTCCTCCCCCAAACTGAAACTGGAAGGTCCAATACAGACTTTATACTTCACCTTCACCCTCCCAGCTTCAAGAGTTCAAGCTTCTCTCTGCTGGTGCGCCCTCATTAAAAAGCACTTGTTTCGGGCTTTTTATGGCATAGGATAAGCACTGGACTGCAAGGTCGGTTTGAATTGCAATTCAAACTCACCAGAGGCTCCTTGGAAACCCTAGACAGGGTGGCAGTGAGTCAGAATCGACTTGACTGCACTGAACAACAACAACATTCTCTTAAATGGAGCCCTAGTGACGTCATGGATTATGAGTTGGGCTGCTAACTGCAAGGTCACCAGTTTGAATCCACCAGCTGCTCCCAGAAAGAAACCTTATACAAGGACACTATGAGTTGGAATTGATTCAGTGGCCAGGAGTGGTGGCGGGAAAATTCTTTTAAACTCTGCTTTTCCTCCCCGTCTCTCCCAGCTCTTCAGTTCAAATTCTTGAGGGAAATAATTCATGCCAATCTAATTGTTGTTGTTAAGTGCAGTCGAGTCAGTTTGGTTCTGACCTATAGCGACCCTGTCTGTATAAAATTTCTGAGGAGCAGCTGGTGAGCTTGAACCACCGGCATCCCGGCATTGTGGTTCGAACAGATTTTGCAGTCCCGTACATTAATCCACACACCACACCAGGACTCGCTTGTTAGTGCCTTCAAGTCCCTTCCAACTCATAATGACCCTGTATAGGGTTTTCGAGGAGTGGCTGATGAGCTTGAACAGCTGACCTTGCAGTCCTAGCCTACCTTATAGTCCGGTGCACTAACCGCAGCACCACACATCTTGTTGTTGTTGTTAGATGCCATTGAACTCATAGCGACTCATAGCGACCTTATCACAGCAGAACGAAACACTGCCCAATCCTGGGCCAACCTCACTACTGTGCCATGCATCGATGAGTCTATCGATGCTGCCACTTAGCCAATCCATCTCATTGGAGGTCTTCCTCTTTTTCTCTGACCCTCCACCTTAACAAACATAATGTCCTTCTCCAACGAATAGTCCCTCCTGACAATATGTCCGAAGTATGAGAGATGAAGTTTGGCCATCTTGGCCTCCAAGGAGCACTCTG